TTTCTTCAATGGTCCGTCGTCGATCTTCCTTGATGATTTCACGAATTTTTTCAACATTTTCATGTGTTCGGGCCATTGCAAAAACGACGATCACACAAAACAGTTGTCACTATAAACTCTGCCGAAACTAGTCCTTACCTTCTGAAGCAACGGTAGTCGGCTTATCGACTCAGGAATGTTAGCTCTATGCGCTCATAGCGGTAAAACGCGGTACTACAAAAGCTCTGCCCACAGAAAAATTAGTTCGGTTTCTTTTGGGTACCCCATCGTATATGAAAGTAGAAAGAAATGGAGTGAGCAGTAAAAGTAGTGACATGAGTAGTAACGTATCAGCAGTAATGGTGGTAGTAGCAGCAGCAGCAACAGTACTAGTAGTAGAACAGAGTAGCAGAACCAGCGGAATTAGTTGTCTATGTAAATATACATGTAACTCAGGAACCTGGCACATTACGTGTACATACGAGTATGTAGAGCTGTGTAATGTAACGAAGCACAACAAATAAACTGAAGCTGATCAAATGGTCTAATTATTTTAGGTAGAAGAGCTAGAATAATTCATTGATGGTGAGATGTCGTTACCTGATAGCTAAGGACCAAAATCTGGGTAGCAGTGCCCCACATGTGAAGCCTCAGCAATCACGTGACTTGCAACGCAAGATGAAACCCATGCCTGACGTAAGATATGCAACTTCACATATGATGTAGCCCAGGCACAGCAGTTAGAGAAGTTATCATATCCATCAAACACCGACTACGTATAAAACTGACTGACATCTAATAATGCTAGTGGGGTGGGACTAAGTCCCTTGTACTGCGGCCAATTCTGGCCTATTGTACTAGACCCAGATGATAGGTGAGGGTGATTGTGGAGCAATTGGTGGAATGAAGATTGGCAGGGGAAACCGAAATACTCGGAGGAAACCTGCCCCAGCGCCACTTTGTCCACCACATATCCCACTTGACCAGACCCGGGATCGAACCCGGGCCTCCGCGGTGGGAAGCCAGCGACTAACCGCTTGAGCTATGGCGCGGCCTGATTGACATCTAAGTCACAGATGATACATGTATTTGATACAAATTATTCTAAATGACATGAAAATGAAAGTTTAAGATCGTCATTATCTAATATTAACCTTCATTGTATGCCTTAACTGCCAAGTTAAATTCTAAATATTTGGCGCTACTTGCTTTTAGTTTAGTTCTGCATAAATTGTTTATACGTATGTTGCATGGAATGTGTCAGCCCAGTTAGGCAAGAGGTAACATGCCTTGTCAGCAGGCTGCCATTAGCGGCTGTCCAAGATGTACACATGTGGCCAGCCGCCAAGGAAAATCAAAGAAAAGCCCACTAAACTATAAGTAATATTATGGACAGTTGAATTTAATTTCTTTAGAATATTTTGGTGTCAGGGCTGTGCTGTAGATCAGGCAGTTAGATGCTGGCTGTTCATCGCAGAGGCCTGGGTTCCATTCCAAGGTAATTAATGTGAGATCTATGATGAACAAAGAAGCATTGGAGCTCGTTTTTCTCCTTTTTTTTCCACCTGCTAAAGATAATTCCACTGTTGCTTCATACTGCTAATTACACTAAGGTGTTGGATCACTCTGATCAGGCAGCACATTATCACAACCTTGGTATTTACGTTTGGGGCATCATCTCTGACCAAGCACTGGGCTGAGTACAGAGTGAGGAATTTAATTTTTATTTTTGACACTCATGTCGCTAATATTTATTTTATTAATTGAATAATATATTATGTTACAAGGAACGAATTTATCGAACATAATAAAATTAATTACCATTATTATAGCCACACATTTATTTCTTTTTCTTGTGGGAGGCACATGCTACTTTCCTATACAGCGGCGCTCTCTGCCTATTCTTTGTGTTGTATTAATGTAATTTAGTATTCACTCTCTGCGCATGTCATGTTCTCGTCAGTTTTCGTGAGGTTCGTGAGCTCGGTCACCTTCAGGGATTTGCGGGGAGACAACTAGTGGTTGCTAAAACCCTGTGCGCGTGCGCTGCTCTGGTGTACAGCCCGAAAGAAAACATGCTGTGTTTATGCGCATAGAGAAAATAAGCAGATCAGAGTCAGTTTCGTCAGTGTTTTCTGTTAGATGGATACCTGTCGGATTTCACCGAGTTCTTTTGCGTAGCATAGCTAGGAGGAAATGTCTCAGGTAAGTTCACTCGGACAGTAATGTTTTCATGAATTTAAACTGTTCCTAAAATGGAACGTTTTATTATTGAGAAAATACGACATCTGCAAATGAAAATTATAATTCAAGCTCGAGTTTTGCATTAAATTTATTAATGACACTGAAAATAATGCTTCGACTTCCTTTCAGTCACATTCCAGGAAAAGAATGTCAAGTGTAAGGCAATTCTATAAAGGTTGTATGAAGTATGGCTTCGTCAGTTGTGCAAATAAAAACGAAAGTGCCGATACTTCACTGTGTTATTTATAACGAAGTACTTGCAGACTAAAACTTGAAACCATCGAAATTAAAAAGACATGCACAGAATTTACTGAGGAATCCCTGGAACATTTTCAAAGAAGGAAACAGGATTTGAAACTGTCGGCGTAGCATCTTCGCCATTTTGTTGCTGCCAATGATAATATGCTGCTGTCATCATAACTGGTTAACAGAAAAGTGGCCCATATACTCGCTGAAAAAATGTTCGCTTAGCTTGTATGGAAATGAAGGTTATCTGGAATACCGTAATCCAATATAGAGGCTAGGCTACGGACTGGATGGTCGTAGAATCGGTGTTTGATTCTCGGCGAGGTCAGGGATTCTTCTCTTCACCATATTGTCACGTCTTTATGGCTGCTTGACCAATAGTAACTAACGGGTACTGGATTGGATGATTCGATTTATTAACACCTTCTTTTACAATCTCTCTCAATCATAATCAATTATAGCGCTACCGCTAATCTATCCATTTCACGAATCACTAGGACACGCTAAGTCTTCTTAGTCTTCGCTAGTCGTACCCTAGCAACGGATTTATAAAAAAATCGCACTGTAACTACAAAATACATGCTAAGTCTTCTCTTCATAAGCTGTCTTTCAACAAACAACTGAACTTCTGATTTTCGACTGACTTAAGTTTTTGTTGGCTTCTCGTTATATAGGATGTTGTCGGGCCGCAGCACAGAAAACACATCCGTTGCCCAGCAGTGGATATATGTGAACCACATAGAAAACGCCTCTTGCGACACTGGTTCTATTGTTGCTTGCGTGTATTTCGGGCGTTGCCTAGAAACGGGTCTACTCTTATTGTTGATTAAGTATCTGTTGCTGGCTTGTTTACCGAGTCGTTTCCTAGCAGTGGGTCTACATGTCACAGTATCACCCAGTTCGGTTGTCAGCCAGCCTCTTATTCAATGCGTAGTGGCGACTCCTTCCCCTGGTTTAAAGCGGCTGAGAAGCAAAGCTGACCGTTCCCGATGATCTGGTCATTTTAAAACACGACTTCATTTCGGAGCGTCCATCAAAAGCCCATGTTCTCTTCATCGTCACGCAGGCCTCCTCACACAAATTCTGCAGAAATGGAGCGAAGAAATAACAGAATCCACTGTTCAACACAACGAAATCGAAAGGCGATACGTCGCTCTTCGATCGAACGGCTAGAAAGATCCGACATCTCTGTCCAATTTCTGTTCCTCAGTTGACACCGAGAGTTAGTTAATCCCACCGACGTCCCCACATGGCACGGCTTGAGATATCGACTGCTGCACAATGTCCCAGTCCGAAGCAGCTATGAAATAACCAATCACCAGGGCATTCCGAAGGCGATTTCAAAGCAGTACTTTCCCTGGTGTCAGCTACCTGGCCAATCCCACCTGCTCGGTAGCGCTGCCGTCATATCTTATCTGTGCCCTGTTCCCTACTGAAGGTGATTTGGTAACATTTTTGCCAAAGTATCTCTCCAGATGTATGGGTTAGGTTGGATCGTGAAATGTCCACTAACTTACTCATCTAACCGTACCTTGGTACTGTGGGATGACTAGCAGTTCACTACACACGTCTATATAACAGACGTGTTGAAACACCAAAGGTAAGGTAAAGTTGTCCCTGTACTTATAATTAAGTACAAAGTATAGATCAACGTTTTCTTAACCTCGGCACTGATTGGAGGTGAGTGGTCAGCGTCACTCCCCGGCCGCTTTACCCCCGACGAAAGAGGCCACACTATGGCCCTGGGGGCGACTCAGCCTCTAATAGAAATGAGGACGAGGATTCTTCTTGGGGGTAAAGGGCAACCGCCGCCTAAGGCTGACAACCGCGCCTCCATCTGTGAGTCGAATATGAAGAAAATGTGGGAGCCTCTACGTCTCTCAACCCTATGGGCTTCCACGGCCTGCTATAGGGATAGTTTTACCTGTTTACCTCGATTTATCTATTTACAATAAGCCTTATAGATATATGGGGACACGCGGTAGCGTAGTTGGCTGAGGCACTAGGCTACAAGCCGGAAGCTCGCGGGTTCGATTCCCGGTCAGGTCATTGGATTTTTCAGTTGACCTAATACTTCCAGCGGCACTATGGCCCATCGATGTGTATCAGTAGGTAGCAGCACCGTCCAGGTTCATGATAATCTCTGTAGCAGGCGAGCATGCGCATGTTCAGAGTCTGGTTTCAGTAGTCAAAATGGAGACCGTGGTTGAGGGTATACTACCAAAGAGCAGCGTTCTGCTGTACGCCTTTCTGTGGACAAAATAACTGAATGCGGGATATACTTATAAAGAAATGTTTCCTGCTTACGGTGAGAAGTGTTTGTCGTGTAAAGCGGTTCAGCCTTGGTGGCAGACGTTTCGCTGACGACGGAGAAGTTCAACTATATGGGCGGAGACAACAGCCAAAAGACTTCTATGCTGCGGGTTTCGACGCACTGGTAAAGCGATGGGACAAATGTATCAGTGTTGGTGTAGGATCTGTGATGAGATAAATGTTCGTTCTAGGTTCGAATATCACATGTCTTCCGTTTTATATCCATTTGTAATCATGTTACTGACTCTCCCTCCTACGTATATAGACGAGTATATTATTATTATTATTATTATTATTTGAGGGGGTGGGTTTCCCCATGCACCGCGACCAGTGGTCTATTGTACATCCCACTGTGATATTCTACCAGTCTCTATTCCCTACCGGTACTGGTGCGTGCCATCAGTCCCGACTCAGCCAGCGAGTTCGGCCTCTACTGGCTCAGCGGTATCTAGATGCTTCCCCCCTCTACCAGAGGCGTTAGAGACTATTGTTGGGCGGGAAATGTCCTTTTGAATTTGGTTCAGAGGCCTCCTTGAGACATGAGGTTATTTTACGTGCTTAAAGTCCCTCCCGGAGGACTTGTTCCCTGAATTTTTCCGCCCTTAAAAATTCCACGACCTTCGCCGGGTTTGAACCCGCGTACCTTGAGTCATGAGGTGGGAACGTTACCCCTAGACAACGGAGGCCGCTTAGACGAGTACACACACACGTAAAACTCTGACTAGGGTATTCGGGCCGGCAGCGGCTCATGGGCCACTGTGGGTAAACATTGGTGTCAAATGCAGCTTAGCCGTCTCGCGGCAAGAAATGGCATCCACTGAGAAACAATATTCCGTTCTTTTCTGCGGAGTCGCACACATGTTCTGGTCTGCTTGGTATAATACTGCGCAAAG